AGGCAAAGAGTTAGACATTCAACCACAGGCAATTCCAAATGTGTTTGTGGAGAGAATAAATTTCATTGGCTCCTCCTCCCCTCTCTCCTAAGCCATACTCCTAAAAACAAGTAATCTAAATAAAAACCCAGCTAAGAACTTCAAATCAGTTCCCTCACCCTTAATTCCAATCTGATTGCTGGCCATTGGGGGGGGGGGGGGGAGAGTGACTCAGGGAATTAATTATTCTTACACACTGGAAGGGAGAGGAAATGGCAAAATTAATGCTGCACAGACTGCCCCTTCCCTGCTGCACTTTTCTCCAATGTATCTTTTTTTTTTTTTTGGTCAATCTTGGGGCTTGAACTCTGGGCCTGGGCTCTGTCCGTCAGCTCTTCAGGCTAGCACTCTACCACTTGAGCCACAGCGCCACTTCCAGTTTTCTGGTGATTAATTGGAGATAAGAGTCTGCCAGAACATTCCTGCCCAGGCTGGCTTTGAACCAAGATCCTCAGATCTCAGCCTCTTGAGTAGCTAGGATTACAGCTGTAAGCCACCGGTGCCAGCATCTTCAATGTATCTTTATCTCCTGCCTTCAATTGCTGCTGTAGACTTCAAGCTGAGATTATAGACAGGGTTTGTGTCAATAGTGGAAGCAAATGTTCACTTTAGCTTTTCCCTGCCATGCCTGCCTTGGGAATTTGAATTTGATGAAGTTAGCAATTGCATCTATTTCAATCATTTGTTTCTCCACCACTCACTGCATTGCCCATATATAATGGATGCACAGTCATTAATTTCTTGGATGAATTAATTCATGGATCAATGAGCAACTGTGAGTATTATTGATGGATACATACAGTTTCATTTGTAACTATAGAAATAATGAACATTTTGTTCAGTGTTCCTGACAGAAAATATACTTAAGTTTGACCAGCCCATCCAATTACATTAAGTAATTGGTCATCACTGAATTATGGATGTGATCTTATTCCTAGAAGAAATAAGCATGTGCTTTTATCAAAATATAATTTCACCTGAAGTTAAGTGGCTTCCCTGCAGATTTCTTCCTGACAGCATAAAAGTAAAAGTTCCACAACACAGCAAGAGTGACTCACCTTTTCATTTCCGAAAGCTGTGTCTTCAACTGAAATTTGACATTTGCTTAAAAGATGAAACCAACCCCATTCCAAATAAATGACAATCAAACAGCTTTTCAAGGATGAGTGTTTTATTTAATATAGGCACTTGACAGAGTAAATACATGGCTACAGTGTTCTCAGTTTATTTGCTTTCTATAGTGATCACAAAGATAAAACCACAGTGTAGATTGTTTCTTGAGGTTGAGGATTTCAAAAGGCACCCCCCCAAAAAAAACCCCATATGTTTATTGTGAAGTAAAAAGGCACAGGCTACTAATTTTCTATCTAGTGAAACTTTGTTACAGTTTAAATCAGTGTTCTCCCTCCTTTCCCCAGTAAAAGTTAATGTTACTTAGCACATTTCTTTCTATTTCATGGGATAAATCCAAGCCTTCAACATGTTAGGTAAGCACTACCTCTGTGCCACACCCCCAGTTCACTTAACATTTTTTATGATGAATTAAAAATTTCTGAATATCTCTTCGGCTTTGAATTACTGGAAAACCTTCTGAACTGCCAAACCAGATTCAAGAATCTTTATAATAAAATATAGTTCAGGCCAGGTGCTGAAGCTTCATGCTTCTAATCCTAGCTATTCAGGAGTCTGAGATCTAAGGATTGTGGTTCGAAGCTAGCCTGGACAGGAAAGCCCATGAGACTCTTAGCTCCAATAAGTTGCCAGAAGTTGCACTGTGGCTCAGGTGGTAGAGAGCTAGCCTTGAGCAAAAAAAAAGAAGCTCAGGGATAGAGCCTAGGGCCCCGAGTTCAAGCCCCAGGACCAGAAGTGTGTGTGTGTGTGTGTGTGTGTGTGTGTGTGTGTGTGTGTGTGTGTGTATGTTGGTCGTTGGTCTCTTTCTTTCTTTCTTTTTTTTTTTTTTTGGTCGGTCGTGGGGCTTGAACTCTGGGCTTGGGTGCTGTCCCTGTGCTCTTCAGCTCAAGGCGAGCACTCTACCACTTGAGCCACAGCGTCACTTCCATGTTGGTCTCTTTCTAAAGCTTTGGATAAACTGGAATCTTATCATTGTAGTTTTCAAAAATATTTCCTTTAAAAAAAAGCTTCCTTTGCATAATGCAGCACACAAATGTCTATGCTCCAAGCTAGCATATGACAAGCTGCTTTTTCCCAAGGAAAATATTCTTTCTTTGTAAAAAGGTCAATAGTAACAACTGGCTTAAAGTCATAAATATGGGTTTTTTGGCCATTTTTTGAAATGCATTTTAATGTTTTTGCCCAGAGCAGCATCAAGAATCTTTTCCTGCTGCTCATTCAAGTCAAAACAATCTTGCTCCCACCCAGAATCCACCAGGCCAATATTTAAAGGTCTGCCTGAGAAGCAAGAGAAATGCATGGCACCACGAAACCATGCATTTGTCATAGCCACGTGTTAATGTGAATACAGAATATTTTAATGAACTTTGCTTTCTTGTTCCCATCTTCAAATGTAACACCTGTCCTGCTTGTTCAAAGAAACTTGTCTTTGTGACATATATAAAGAAAAGCTCTTTCTGATTTCTAGCATGCCTTATATAAAGAAAAGCTCTTTCTGATTTCTGGCATGCTTTATATAAAGAAAAGCTCTTTCTGATTTCTAGCATGCATTGCCACTTAGTGCCTGGTCCTCTCTGGTCTTCAGGGTGAATAGTGGAAGAACACTAAAATTCATCCATGCAATGTAGTGACATGAATTCTCTTTTATAGTTGGAAAAGTTCTTAGTGCAAGAAGTGAGGTAAGCCAATGCAAGGAGCTGCAAAGCTCTGTTAGGAATGGCTGAAATGGTTCTCTGTGCTAGCCAGGATTCTCCCAGAATGAAGGGTAGTCTTTGTAGACTGGACACTGCTCTTTGGCTCTCTGCCTTTCTGGGCAGTACTTCTGGCCATCTGGTTATTGGCCCCCTGGACTTTGGACTTTATGGGAAGACTCAACAAGGACATCTCCCTGCCTTCACAGTGACCTCTGAATAGCTCCTATGCAGCCGTGTGCTGGGAGTTCAGTTCCTGAATTCTCTAAGCAGGTCCTGTGCCAGGCCCCACGACAATTAAGGAGACCATTGTTCAAGGCTGTGGGTTTCTAGCAGGAAGCACATGTAGTCACCAAACCCTAATTTCTATCCTTGAAGAGAGAAGCTTCTGGGAGAAATAGGAAGTAAACAGAACAGTACACCATACTGAATGCCAGGATGTGAGGATTTCAGGAGAAGCAGCGTCTCCCTTCTTCCCTGCCATGGATAGCTCAGAGATTCAAGGGTCTAAACGCTCTAAGAAAATTCAGAGCAATTCAACGTAAGACTATGTTCACATTGAATATCATTCTGGCTTCATGACCTAGAAATCTAAGATGTTCTTTGTGGACACGTCAGAGGAAAGTTCTCTAAAAATTCCTGGTGAAGGGCTGGGAAGTTGGCTCAGTGGCAGAGCGCTTGCCTTGCATGCCTAAAGCCCTGGGTTCGATTCCTCAGCACCACATACGCAAAAAGAAAAAAGCCGGAAGTGGTGCTGTGGCTTAAGTGGTAGTGTGTTAGTTTTGAGCTGAAGAGCTGAGGGACAGCACTCAGGCCCAGAGTTCAGGCCCCACGACCGGATCCAAAAAAAAAAACCAAAAAAAAAAAAAAATTCCTGGTGAAATGGCTGAAATATTGAATAACATCTCCAAAGATATACTTGATAGTGATTAGCAAAGCAAACTCTTTAGATGAAATGTTGAATCTAGTATTCAAACTTGAAAAGGAATTTTTTTTTAGTCACTTGGGCCGCCAACTTTTAAAGAATAATCTGGTATTTTTCTAAAGTCCAATAGAACACATCTTTTTTATTTTTATTTTTTTGCAAGAAAGCCCATTGTATTTTTAACATTAACAGTTTTCAGATTGTGAGCCCTTTAAAAGATGCTTTTGATTCTATTTCCTTCCAGGAAGAAGGAACAATAGCTTTCCACCGTGGACTCCCCAGTGGTTAGTACATGACAGGGACTCAATAAACTTGCTGAATTCCTAAACAAATGATCTCTAGTTTTAGTAACATCGTTGGATCTTGGTGGAATATAACTTGGCTTTTGTCTTTATTTATTCATCGTTCCCTTCTGAGGATGTTTGAATAGAAAGAAAAAAAGCCATCATGCCTTTTCATTTCTAAAAGACAAAGTATCCAATCTTTTTAGCATATCTTGATATGTTGAACATAATTTGAGGCATGTAGTAGCTTTACAAATAATGTCTGTTTAATCAGGAGGCTTTGAGCTCAATGCACATCAAAAGGCCTATCTGGAATGGTTTGAGGTTTACACATTGTGAATAAGATTAATGGACAAGAATCAACATGAAAATTGACTCATGCCTATAGTCTTAGTTGCTCAGGAGGCTGAGATCTAGGGATTGCAGTTCAAAGCCAGCCTAAGCAGAAAATTCCATGAGACTTTTATTAACCACCAAAAAGCCAGAAGTGGAGCTGTGGGTTTCATAGTAGAGTGCCAGCTTTGAGTGAAAAAAACTAAAAGACAGGACACCCAGGCAATGAGTTCAAGCCCCAGGACCGGCACTTAATTAGAATCAACAATTTGATAGTAAAATTAGTTATAGGCCCAGAGAGTCCCACAATCTTTCTGCTCAGCTTCTCATGAGACCAGCCAGGGATGGCTGCTTCAAGGACTGCATATGGTAGGGGTTAGCACTCATGACCTTCACTTTCTTACAGCTTGATTGAGAAGGTGAGGCTGGGGGCTGGGAAGGTGGCTCAGTGGTAGAGCGCTTGCCTTGCATGCCTGAGGCCCTGGGTTCGATTCCTCAGCACCACATAAGCAAAAAGAAAAAAGCCGGAAGTGGCGCTGTGGCTCAAGTGGTAGAGTGCTAGCCTTGAGCTGAAGAGCTGAGGGACAGCGCCCAGGCCCAGAGTTCAGGACCCACAACTGGACCCAAAAAAAAAAAAGAAGGTGAGGCTGATGGATGGTAAGGCTGCACTTAAGAGTATACATTTGTGTGAGTGTGCACTTGTATTCTTATTCAAAATTTAAAAGCTTTAAAGCAGTAGAAAAAAAATGCACCACTGAAATGTGTAGCGAATATTGAGAACTGTTTTCCTGTTTTACTGAAGTACTGTTCTCTCCCCCTTCTTCCTCTCTGTCTCTCTCTGTAACCCCTTACCCCAAACACTCTGGTGCCTTTACAATCCCTATTAAAATGCTAAAGTAATAATTCATGGTAAAGCAATTTAATTCCAGAAAGGTCTGCCTCAGTGCTCACGTCCTGTGGGTATTTCTACGTTCAAATTAAGGAATGATTTCATAATAGTTTTCATAGCAAATCACATGCAACCTTTATGAATTCCCATAACTATAACCCCTTGACCGATGACTTTGTTCAAAGAAAGACAATTGCAGACTTGTGGCTCTTACTCCTCCAAGGGAGGCCCTGGAGAGCCCTCCTGACACCCTTCATTCTCCTTCATATCACCTTCCTGTGCAGCCAGGACTTCTGTGTCTGCAGAATTCTCAACCACCCACTGGCACTCATAGACATGGACAGCCTTAACCTCCTGTGCATCCTCGCTGGCCACAGCTAGGGCTGCATCGCTGATCCCTCCTATCACTTCTAGCTCTTCTGCAACCTGACTCTCCCTGGAGCAAATAGGGTCAGAACTTAAAGTGCCAACTTCTTGTGGCACAGCATGATCCTCCACATTGCAAACAGCCTCACCTGCATCCTCCCTGGCTTCCAGCTCCCTCTCAGTGGGCTGTGTGGCCCCGGCTGGCTCTTTGGTGGGGTCTACGTGGTCTGTGCCCTCAGGGTGCCCTTCACCAGCAGGTGGACAGGCAGGGACACTGGCCTCTGGAAATGCCCCCAGATCCACCCCGGGGGCCTCAGCCTCTGGAGCTGGAGGATGGGCTTCCTTCTTCTCCATGTTGTTCTCTTCACAGTTGTCCTGGTGAGCAGAAGCCTGGCTGACGTCTGGGTAGCACTGGACTTTTCCTTCTTCATTTGCCTTTTCTTGGAGCCCAAGTGTCCCTTCATTTGTGTCTTTTCTGGTTACCAGAGCAGACTCCACAGGCACTTCCATGGACACTGACAACTCTCCGAGATCTTTCAAGGAGCCTGAGGCAGCCCTCTGTTCTGCCTTTTCGTGGGTGGGCTCTTCATTCTCGGGGGTCTCTTTTAACTCCAGCTCAGGAACATGTGCACTAAGAGGTGTCTCGATGTTTTCTGCAGCTGCAGGAGTCACAGCAGAGTCATGCTCGCTTGACAGAATCATCTGCCCATCCTCACCTGAAGGAGGGCTAGGCCCAGAGAAAGAAAGGCTTTCTCCTTCAGCCGATGAACAAGGGAGCTCAGGCTGCTTCTTTTCCTCTGACTCCTGGAACACTTCTTTACTTGGGGTCTCATTATCTGGAGGTCCTGGCAAAAAAGCACACGCCGTTGTGGCAGAGCTGGCCAGGTTTGTTCCGGTGGGGATTTTTAGATCTGTCAAACTGGATACACTTTCACTGGGCAAGGCCATGTTGTCTTCAAATAAATTGTGCTTCTTCAAGATAGCCGCTTCTTTGATCACTGAGAGGTTAGAGAAAACAGAACAGAACATGAACACCCTGCAGAACAAACCTGGATTTTCTGAGTTTATTCAGAAGCCAGACACCTCTGTCAGCTCCTCTCACCATCAAATTCTCAAATACAACACCATGGAAACCTTACTTCTGTAATGATCAAAGACTGCAAGCTCTTTCAGAACACAGAGCCTTGGTAACATTCATTCATTGATTCACACAAGCAAACATTTGCTAGGCATCTAACAGGGGGATCAGCAATGGAAACTTAGACCTTTGCTTTCAGAGCTCATGGTTCACAATGTATTTCCCTGAGGGAGCCTCCCCGCATCACAGTTTACTACCTGTGAATATATGTGGCTAGTTTGTCTACTTCCACTGGAATACCTCAAGGGCTAGGACAAGCCTTAGGATACTCTGCTTTTCCTCTCAGTGTAATCCTGAATGCATAGTATGTACTGAGCATGTAGCTGGTCTGTAGAGTCCAAAATGGACATACATGAACATCTAACCTAGCCTCATAGACCTTGAGAAGAACAAAGCCAATAACAACAGAAATAACAGCATCTGGCAATTTGGCTGTGGCTCTCCACTAATGGTTGTGGATAAAATGTGCACCATGACCACATCCAACGAGGTCTCATAGATTTATACAATCTATATCATTCTCTCAGCAGCCAACAGTTAGACCCCCTTTTTGACCAAAGTCAGAGTATCATGACAGTATTTCTCACAGGGAGAAGTATCTGGAGAAAAGGACTCTTCTAATTCTTCATGGTGGGCTAGCCATGGCTTTGATTTGTGCAGATTCTACACTTTCATTTTTGGTCCTACTTGAGATCTTCCCCAGGAATACCAGTTAAGGTTCAGGTTCAGTTTGGTAGTAGCTCTCTTCAGCATATTTTAAAAAATCATTGTTTTCCTCTTCAAACTTTCATTCCAGGCTAAGCTTGGTTACGCAGCAGGTTGGGTGCTAACACTGTATGAAGCTTCATAGGGCACTGTGCCATTGCCCCGTGTCTTTTTCTGTCTGGTTGAGTAGAAGCAGGGAATGTGCTGAGAGAGCAGTGGCCAGGCCTTGCTGCTGAACTCACCTCTACCAGGCTCTGGGAGGGGTCATGAGCCAGTGCCTAAGAGCCCTTGTCCTTGTGTGTGACCCAGTGTGGGAAAGACAGCGCTTCATGAAATACCCCATACTTAGTCCCTTTAAGCCTTTATTTTCTCATCTGTAAAATGAAGCTTAACATCCTCATCTTATAATTCCTATCTTTTTAGTTTTTTTTTAAGTTTAGTTTTGCTTTTATTGTTGTTGTTGTTGTGCTGGTACTGAGGCTAGAACTTAAGCCTACATGTTGTCCCCTAGCTTTTTTGATCAAGGCTGACGGTCTACCTCTTGAGACATAGCTCTGCTTCCAGCTTTATTTTTTTTTGGTGGGGGTAGGGGTTAGTTAACTGGAGATAAGAGTTTCATGGGTTTTTCTTTCTTTGGCTGGCTTTGAATTATGGTTCTAAGATCTCAGCTTCCTGAGTTGCTAGGATTACAAGCATGAGTCACTGGCACCCAGCTTCATAGCTTATATTGTATTGAAAGAGAAGAATATTTAACTGGCCAGCAAAACACAAGCCAAATCATGAGTGCTCAATCAAGGTTGTTGTCTTTCCTTCTTTCCTTCCTTTTCCTGGCACATGAAAGCCAGTTTCCTCTTCCTCTTTTTTACTGTCTGGAGTCTCATCTGAGGAATGCTTCCTTCCGTGGGGAGTTCCCTTCTGTCCAGGACAAGCTCTCCCCCCCGCCCCCCCCCCCCCCCCCCCGCTTACCTTTCAGAGTTTCATCAAGAAGAGTCTGATGCAGAATCTCCTCATAGACATTCTCAACATGGATCATATGAGTATGATCTGAGAAGATGAACTGCTCATATTTCTGAAGCTCCTAGACAGTGACAGTGAGAGATAAGAATAACGTAAGATACTGGACATGCAAAGGAGGAAAGCAATGGCCCACAAAAAGAAGTCTAAATAGTAACTCAGTTCAACAGTCTTTGTGCTCTCTTCAACCCAAGCTCCTATGACCTCACATGACCTCTTTAATCCAAAATACTGTGAGCTTCATATAACCTTGACATAGCTAATACCTGTCCATTGGAAGGGTGCATACGGCCATTGTCCTTCTCTCTACTTTCTTTGCACTGGGAACATGTCCTCTGCTCTGGGCCTGGGCGCTGTCCCTCAGCTCTTCAGCTCAAGGCTAGCACTCTATCACTTGAGTAACAGTGCCACTTCTGGCTTTTTCTGTGTATGTAGTACTGAGGAATCGAACCTGGGGCTTGATGCATGCTATGCAAGCACTTTACCACTGGGCCACATTTCTGGCCCTCCTTTTTTTTTCTTCCTATCATAACCAAACTGTTTCCTTCTTTCTTTTTTTATTTAATGACAACAGTACTTTGTTGAGACAGAAGTTACATCCAGTAGAAAGCACAGATTTAAAAGTGTAGTTCAATAGCACTTAATATATAACTATACTCAAGTAGCCAAAATGTATATCAAGATGGAAGAACACTTTACTAACCCCCCCATCACCACTCTCTACCCCAGGATCCTCTACCACCCTTCCAGCCATTCATCCCTCTAATATGAACACTGATTTCATATCGAGAGAGATATGATAGATTTTTTTCTTCAACTTTATATAAAGAAACCATACATTCTTACATGTTTGCTTTTCAGATTTACTCACATGGCTGCATCTAAATGGCTAAACCAAAATCGTTAGCCCTTACTCATTCTCGATATTGGGATTTTTCTCCCTATTTTCTGATTGTTATGAAGATTGTATGAACATGTTTTGTCCTCATGCTAATAACAGGCATGTCATTTCTTTTTTGTAGACTTAAGGACTTACTTTTAGGACTTATTTGTCTTAGTCATATATCTAAAAATGAAATTTGAAGTTGCTAGGTCATGTAGATTTTTTTTTTAGCATTTTTGTTTTGTTTTGTTTGAAATAAGGTCTTGCTCTATAGTTCATGCTGGACTTGAAACCTCAATCTGCCTTTCACATGGTAGGATTGCAGGCATATGCCACTATACCTGGTAGATGTATGTTTAGCTTTATTAAAATGGGGACTCTTTTCCAGTTGAACAGTCTCTGTAAAAGCTCTTCTTTGCCTCCACCTGACCTTGATACCATGGATTCTCGCTCAGACAGCCCAGGCACGGTGCACATTTTCTTATCAGCATGAAGGAAGGGCAGGGAACAAAATGCAGCAAATATTGCCTAGTCATTAACTCAGTAATCCTCATACCTAATAGTACTGGACATGGTGGGGGAAGGGGCTCCCAATTCAAGGCTCTTTACACCTTTTACCTGAATAGTCAGGGTTTATAGCAGGTGACTGGAAGCTATCACATTCATACAGCTTTCAGAGCTAAGACTTGGCGGAGCTGTGGCCCAGGATTATATTGTATGGCCATGGGCAATAATAGAGTTCCTTTACACCCACCAGGAAAAAGACGAAGAGTTGGCAAGAGTCAGGAGTTCTTTGACCCCTGGAGGGTTCATGAGATAGAACTGGTGTACAGTTCTGGAAAGATCACTGCACACAAGACTGGACACTGCCATTGAGCCATGACATCACTCAGAGGTAAATGGAGGCACACAGGCTCATGGCCCGAATGTGTTTTCATCCTAATGCTAATCCTCCTGTCAGTTCCTTCCCATGCAGCGTTCAGTTCCCTACCAGGATTGGGTAGAAAGAGGCATGATCCAAGGAAGTCCTCCTTGATTCCATGAGCAGAGTTCAGCACCTTCCCTGAACTCTTCCCCATAAGGCCAACACTGTGTCCCCAACATGGCAACTTGGGTATCTGTCTTCTGCTTACACACTGTGACCCCCAAGACCATGAGGACTATGGTTTGGCAGCCTCACACAATGACTAGATCATGTCTGATGCATTTGAATGCTTATTTGCTGAATAGAGTGCTTTCATGTTTCCAACCAGCTAAAGGATTCTGTGGGAAGAGATAATCAAAGGACATTTAGATGTGCCCAACTTCACAAAGCTGATATTAAATCAACTGAATTGTGTCATAGGCTTAACTTTTGTAGCAGTTGAATTGGAATTCTGAGGGAGATTCTTGTGGAGTACTTAAAAAATATTCTAGGCAATTATAATGCATACTTAGTACCACAAATCTGAGAAGATGCTACTTAAAAAGAGAAACAAAAAAAAACACATCTTAGTAAAAATAAGGAGTTCATGAAGCTGATAATCCTTCAATTTATCTATTCTATAAATCTAGATTTTTTTTTTTATTTCAATTCTTTTTGTGTGCCAGTCCTGGGGCTTGAACTCAGGGCCAGGACTTTATCCTTGAGCTTTTGTGCTTTAGGCTAGCTCTCTACCATTTGAGCCACAGCTCTACTTGTGGCTTTTTTTTTGGTAGTTAACTGGAGATAAGAGTTTCATGAGTCAGGTACTAGTGGCTCACACCTGTAATCCTAGCTACTCAGGAGGCTGAGATCTGAGGATCGTGGTTCAAAGCCAGCCCGGGCAGGAAAGTCCGTGACACTCTTATCTCCAATAAGCCACTAAGAAACCAGAAGTGGCTCTGTGGCTCAAGGGTAGAGCACTTGCTTTGAGCTGAAGAGTACAGTGACAGCCACGGGTTCAGAGTTCAAGCCCCACACCTGACCAAAAAGATAAATAAATAAATAAAAGAGTTTCATGGACTTTCCTGCCCAGACTGGTTTTGAACCACAATCTTCAGAGTAGCTAGGATTACAGGTATGAGCCACTGGTACCTGGCAATCTAGATATATTTTTGAAAGCTCTTGACAATGACATACTATCTTGATAACTCAGGATCACAGGCTCTGGGAAGCAGTCTTGATTAAAAATCATATAAGAGCTTTTGTAGACTGGGCTCAACTCACTCTGCTGATGCCCGGGAAGAGGGCATAGTTGAGAAGGGGAACTCCACGCTTGCCTCATCTGGGAGGGGGGTTTCTCAAGCCCTGCCTTTACAAATGTCTCCTAAACAAATGACTATGTGCATCTGTGTTTTCAGGTGGAACCAGTAATCTGTCAAGCTGCTGAACTGTTCTGTCACATAAGGCTAAGGGATGGATGCTCAGAGATGGATTCTTTTTTCCCTGGCTTCAATCAAATCCTTTTCGACTAGGAAATATACACCCAGAAATGAATGCCAATACTAGACATGCCAATGTGAAGAAAAACAACATTTATAGGATATAAAAAATGACCGAAGAAAAAAATGTCACAGTAAAATAAATCACATAGAAGATTTTAATGCTTTCATGCTTGGAGAAGCTCCAAGCTCCCTAAATGCCTTTTCGAAATTCTAAGCTCTTTATCATCTACCCCAACAGGGAGTAGATCTTGTTCAGGTCCATGATTCCTTTTTACAAAATAGACATAGTAATCAGATGGTGGTGGACTTCTAGTTATCTGATTGTCTGCTGTGTTACAGGTGAGTGTGAATAGGCTGAAACTGTTAACCAGCCCACTGTCTCTAGACCTGTTACTTAACCACTCTGTTTTCCTCATTTGCATAGGAGGCTATAAATAGTACCTTTCAAAAGGCTGCTTCAAAGTTGATTTCCATAATCCATACAAAATGCTTCCCACAGTGGTTAGTGCTTGATAAAGCTCATAGATGTTAATTGCATCATTCTAGTCTTCTCAGTCTTAAGAAAGTCCTTGCAAAATATTCCTTCCATTGCAGGAGATGTAATCTTGTCCCAAAGAGAAAAAGGGACTTTTCCAGAGCCCCAGAGGAAAAACATGGAGAAGCGAGGACTCAGTCCAGGCTTTGAACTTGCCCATTGCTCTGCTGAACACGAAATCTCACCTTCTCCATCACCTGCCCCTTCATGCCTGAGGCTGGCAACAGCACTACACGGCATCCCTAATTTCAGTAAACAAAAGTTACTGGAGGGCTGGAATGTGGCTTAGTGGTAGAGTGCTTGCCTAGCATGCATGAAGCCCTGGGTTCAATTCCTCAGTACCACATACACAGAAAAAGCAGAGAGTAGTGCTGTGGCTCAAATGGTAGGGTGCTAGCCTTTGGCAAAAGAAGCTCAGGGACAGTGCCCGGGCCCTGAGTTCAAGCCCCAGAATTGGTTAAAAAAAAAAAAAGTTACTGGAGAAAATAGCACAGATTTCCTTCTGTAATCATGTTCCTTAAGTTCTCTTCTGGATGTAGTAGCCAAGTGTCAGAGTTGATGATTCCTTTTCTAATAGGGATCACAGGCTCTCTTCTTAGACATCCTTTGTCAAGTTCTCACTTGGCTCAAGTTCAGATCATTACCCTTTGAGATTTCTGCCATTCCAGAGGCAGCAAATCTGGGCAGCTTCTTGTGCTTTTAAAACGAAGTCGATTAGCAGTTTGCCTGTGTAATCTGTGTATCTTGAGCTATTTTTGCATTACAACAGCAGACTTGTATGGTTACAAGACAAATAAGCCCACAAAGTCTAAAATATTTACAATCTGACCATTTATCAAACAGCTCTCCCACCTGGCCCTGGGTCTAGCCAACTACTTGCAAGTGTGTACATTTGACCTTCAGAGACAATAGGAGCCACGTATTTCCTTACTGGTTTGCACGTGGATGCCAGTGCCTTCTGCACAGTGGGCAGTGTGATTTGAACCAAGGCCTCCTGAAAGATCTTCTTCCTGATGGTGCTGCTGTCATAATCATATTGCTGTCAACACAGAAGCATATGCTAAATTGTAGCATTCCAGTATGTTAACATTTGCTTCAACAAACAAACAAAATCAGCCACTCACACCATCTCACTTCCTCCACTCCTCTAAATTTCTATAATTCCCACAAATGCCAGGTGTAGGGTAAGACATCCTGATTTAACTCATCTTCTCCTCTTACAGATGTGGAAACAAAGGGAAGACCAAGCCAGGGAAGTGGCATTTGTCTTATAAAGACATTGGGGAAAGAACTAAGGAGTGAGTTTGTGCCTCATCACATGGTTCGGATAGACAGATAAGAAAGAGGTTGACTCTTTCTGCTCTACCCAAGCCTGGGGACTTGGGTATATCACAGGCAATCTGAGCTCCCAACACAGGCATGTGAGCAGAATAGTCAGGGTACATGAAGAATGATTGAAGAGAGAAGAGTACTTATGCTGAGAACATAACTTGAGGGGAAATGACAGCTTTACTTAAACAACCAGTCTACCATGAGGAAGAAAAGGATATACAAGGAAGGAGGTAAAACTAGAATTACCAGTGGTAAGGATCTTAGTCTAACCTAAGAAAGTATATTCTTCAAGGCAGAAGTGTCCAGAGATGGAATGCTGAGCCCAATCCATCTGCTTGGGAAGAAGAAGGTGAATGCACCCAGTACCAGTGAGATTGCCCCTGGCAGGTAGGTTCTTGACACTTGATGGGAGGTTGAACTAAAGGAATTCTGAGTCCCTTTCAAACCTGAGCTGCTAAGGTCTGTACACCCTTCTGTTTGTTTTCTTCTGTCTGCAAACAACACTTCACAGTGATATTGTCTTTTCCTTCAGCTCGATTGCTAGGACATTCATATCTGTGTTACCACTATCAAGATTACTTTTAATCTCAATTTGGTTGTCAAAGTTTTCTCTTACCTACAAAGTATCAGAGATTTCATCAGGGATGGAATTCAGAGAGCACTGTAGATTCTGTGGCGTTTTAACATTTTGTCTGAATGTACTGTTAGTAGGCAAGTGCCAGGAGAGTTGTAGCTTTAAGCTCATCATTGGCTAGTGTGTCTAGCTTGTAAGGCACAGGTGTTTAGAGGATTTATTTCCTCATTTGTACAATAGGGACATATTCTAATCCAATCATAAGTTCTTGGGAAGATCAAGCAAAACAATATAGCATTTTTAAAGACTCTAAAACTGCATGATATGTGTTGAAATGCTTATTGTTGCAGCTGTTTTTGTGTGCACTTATACATGCAATACATTTAAAACAATTCAATATGGTGGCTGTCTTTTCCTTGAGTATTTCCTTTCCCTTGAAGTTTTGACTTGTCTTAAAAGTATTGACCAATGTAATGGATTTCACTACCCTGTAAATGTGTTCAAGTCAAAGATGGTGTCTTGTCTATTTTCGTATTCTATGTAATTGGTACAATGCTAGTGGACAGCCAATAAAGTCCAACTGCTTTCTACCTGTGTGCAATGATGCTGAGGACCTGTGGTGCCTAAAGTAGCCACTAGATGGCAGAGCAGGCACAAAAGTCAGCTGAGAGATGACTGCTACTGGTGCCTCAGAAGGAGCGGGGAGGGGCAGCTCGGCTTGGCAGAGGGTACAGTGTGTGTGCACTGTATTTGATGTTGGTATAATTTGTGGAGGGGAAGGGAAAAAAAGAAAATGTTTAAATAGGGATACAGATTGATCCATTGCAACAATGAGATGTACAAGACACTATGTTGAAAAACGAACTTTACAATTTAGGCGAGGGAGGGGGGTGGAGGAGGGGGGAGTGTAGTTGAGGAGGTGGGAGGGAAGGGATGGTAGGGGAAAAACAAAGGAGGAGGCAACAAAGCTTGATAGGAAATGCACTCATTACCTTGCTCGTGTAACTGGAACCCCTCTGTATGGTATTTTCACAATAAAAAAACTTACTTAAACAAACAAACAAATACCAGGGGCCACATTCTTGTTGGATGCTTTGCAGCAAAAGTTTTACCTTTAAGACTCGGAGCTTGACCTTCTCAATGGCAGCTGCTGTTCTAGATTCCTCTCCTTGGAGATGTGGGGCCAGTAACTGCTCAAAAGTGAACACAGCGTTCTCCATCAGCTGGAAACCAAACCGACACAGAGAGTATAGTCAATGCTCAGGGTCACTAGCACAGGCCTTCTTGGCTTGATTCAGAGATATGAGAGGAGAGGAACCATCAGAATTTTTCAGATACGCTCTGGGCCTGACCCAGATCACCAGGGACCCAACCCCACTCCCTTCATTGTGAATCAAGCAGCCATATGGCCACCAGGGGTGCAGAAAGGGCTGCAAACACCCCTTTGCCCAGTTGGTCTGTCTGTCTAGTATCACTTCTCTCCTCCCCATCATCCCGAAGGGGAAACCCTAGAATGGAGGACAGAGACTGTGGCCTGTCCTATAGTTGCCACCCCTCCCCATCCCCCCTTCTTCCTCATCTGTGATTCTCCTCCAGCCGTGGGGCTACAGCCATGGGTTAAGGAGATGCGGGCGTGAGGAGCCTCTCTGCCCACACTTTGGGCTGCACCTCAGAGCTTAGGTAGATAGGAAGACCGACAGCGCATGCCCCTCTCTGCTTTTCCCCTGCTCCCTACATGCCTTCCTATCTCTGCAAGGCTGGGCAGGGGCCCAATCAAGGCTGGCTGGTGACAGCAGATAAGGAGCCTCAGGAGTCCCGTCGCATTCCCTGCAGCTGTGCCGCTAGCATACCGCCGAGGACCAACATTCTCAAAGGGATCACTGTTAAACTGCTGCCCAATCAGTGCCTCGTTCATCTTTAATTCCTCACAACTCCAAGGTTAGATAAGAAGATGTATTGCTTACCCAGCCCATAACTTCGAAGAAAATGATGCTCTTTGCTTTCCAAAGCATCCAGCATATAACTCTGTCAAAGCACTTGCCAGATGCCAGTATATCTATCTATTTCTCTCTCTCTGGATTCTTGAACTGGGAGCTGGCACAGTGTCCAAGTCCACAGCGAGCTCCCCCAGGACATTTGTGAAATAGACTTGTGGCTGAGCACATTCCTCCTTTGTTCTAGTGAGAAAGAGTCTCTAAGGCTGACTGCATTACTGCTCTGGGGGTGACAGGAAAATGATAGAAACCTGCCGATTGGACCCAAAATTTAAATGTGATTGGTTGACTTACTGACATTACAAATTAACTTAAATCCACACTTCTCAACCCTAGTTACACACTAGAAACAAAGGGAATGGGGGTGGGAGAATTTTTAAAAATTACATGTGTGTATATGTTTGCTTATATGTATGTATGTATGTATTATGTATGTGTGTATTTAATTCACAGGATGGGGTATTAGTGACAATATTTGTCAAAAGTTCCATCAGTGGGATGGGAGTAATAGAGGATAATTATAATCCCAGCTACTGGTGAGGCAAAGATAGGAGGATTACAGTCTGAAGTCATCTCAGAAAAGTATAAGATTCTAACCCCCAAAATAACTGAAAGCAAACAGAAGCGAGCTAGCAATGTGGTTCAAGTGGCAGGGCACCTGCCTGGCAAGTATGAGATTCTGAGATCAATCCTCAGGGCTGCTTAAAAAATAAATCCTTCCCAGGTGTTTTCTAATGTGCAGCCACGGTTTAAGCCAGTCAATTAATTATCCGTTGGCACCACTTTATTTCTCTAGAGATTTCTTTATTATGTTCATCAACTTGGAGGAAGGCCAGCAGGAAGGACAGTGTGTCCTTGATCATCCCAACTAGGGAAACAGCCTGAGTTCCTGGGCTGCAGGATCGTTCTGCCTCCTCTGCCTGCACATATTTTCCTCTCTCTCTCTCCATCCTCATCCCAGGCGATCCCTGATACTCCCACCTCTTGCATGTAGTTCTGTGTCCTCTGGACCACCAGATCCACGTGCGGGAAGCCGAAGCGGCTCTTGAGATCCTGCAGGCGCTCTTGAAGCAGGTTCACTTTAGTGTAGCACGGCTCCATCTTCACAGAATCCAGCGGAAGGTTCACAAGCTGGCTCAGTTGCTATATTTTGATGAAGGGAATAAGGAAACACTTTCAGATTTAGCAATCAGATGTCCTACATATTTCAGAACACCTAACTGGCAAATCATCGAATGCCTGTTCTTAGAATGCATCACTACTAACAAACGACACCTGTGGCACCTTCAATAGTCCTGTTTCCCTCCTGCACTCTGTTCTAGGAACCGCTCTCTTGCTAGGACAGAAGTCATGAAGAACCAGCTGACACCAAGGCCCAGGGGTGCACACAGGAACTCCCCATCTTATATTGGCCATGGACCGCGAGTTTCTACTTCCAGAGCTCACGAGGCAGCCAGGCAGGCTGTCTGGCACATGGAATTGTTTGGGGCTCCAGCTGTCTCCAAGGAGTGACATGTTTCAAGAAGCCTGGGGAGGTTGGGAGTTGCTGGGAGAGAAGCCAGGACTCCTCACAATTCTGAGAGGCTCTTCTAGTGCCCCTGCACCCAGGCCCTCTGCTCTGACTTGCTTTCTAGTGCTACTGGGTGGGGTATGGATGTGAGGAAGACGCTCAGTGGGGGAAGTGGGCAGTGTGTGTGGAGGAGGGCCCAAATCCAGCTATAAAGTCTGGGAGACAGGCATAGTGGCTCATTCCTGTAATCCCAGCACCTGGGAAGCAGAGGCAGGAGGATCTTGAGTTTGAAGACAGCCCGGGCTACCTAGTGAGACTGTCTCAAATAAATACACTTATCATGCATTATTACATTTGATTTATTATAAAGTTATTCATTATAAACTTAATTATAACGTATTATAAATATAGTAAATTTAATTTATATAAAATTATAATCCATTATGAATTTAACAAATAAATTATAAATCTAATTATTGTAATAATTCAACCATTATAATCTATTACAACTTATATGTATTTATTATAAATATAACTGCAATATATTCAATGTGTACAAATGTAATTATAATTTATTATAATTTTAATAAATTATAAGTTTTATAATTTATTATTATTATTATTCATTCATCCAATTTATGTATCAATAAATACATGCATGAATTGGATGAATGAATAATAATAATCATCTGAGGACTCCCACCTCAGTTTGCACAGGTGATAAGTTAATCAATGAGTCCACAGGTGGGTTTTTGGTCTACTAAAGCCCACTATGTAATCAGCACTCTTAACACCAGGAATGTTGCTGCCACAGAAGGCTTTCTAAGCTTTTCTAAAGGTGAACATTGGAGGGTTGACATAAATTGGAGGATGGTGTTGACATAAATTGGAGGATGGTGCAGAAGAAGTGTGCAGAAAGGTTTTATTTTTTAAATTTGTAAGTTTTAAGAAAAAGTACATTTACATAAGTAAGAGGAAAGCCCTAAAATAGAGAAACTATCAGGAGAGGGCCTTAAAGGGGAGTCCAGAAAGGTTTTGAAGATGGAGGCTCTGGGGAGAAGTTGGGGGAAAGGCGGAGTGAACGAGGCGCCTGTCCCAGCCCAGCCCACTGTGCTTTAATTAGGGAAACAGTGCCAGCTACTCAGGAGGCTGAGAGCTGAGGATCCTGGTTCCAAGCTAGCCCCAACAAAAAAGAGTCTGTAAGACTTATCTCCAATTAACCAGCAAAAAGCCTGAAGTAGAACTATGGCTTAATGGTACAGTCCAAACCTTGAGTAAAAAAATCAAGGGGCAGCACAGCACCCAGGCCCTGAGTTCAGGTCAGCACACACTCACAATTCACTTTAAGAAGTGAATTATGTGCTGGGCTCACAGCTGTAATCCCAGCTAGGCAGAAGAGTTCATTAAACTCCATTTCCAGGGCTGGGAAGTTGGCTCAGTGGTAGAGTGCTTCTAGCCTTGAACTGAAGAACTGAGGGACAGCGTCCAGGCCCAGAGTTCAGCCCCCATGACCAACAAAAATAAATAAATAAACAAACAAACTCCATCTCCAAAATAACTAGCAAAAATTAAGGCTGAGGGTTTGGCTCTAGTAGTAGAGTGTCAGCTTAGCAAATGCAAGGCACTGAATTCAAACCCTAGTAATTCAAAAATAGAAGAAAAGAAAGGAAGAAAGAAAGAAAAGAAAGAAAAAAGGGAAGGAAGGAAGGAAGGAAGAAAGGAAGAAAGGAAGGAAGGAAGAAAGGAAGGAAGGAAGGAAGAAAGGAGGGAAGGAAGGACTTAATTATGGCAAGGTCCCCTGAAATGGAAGTGTTGGTCAGAAGCATGCTGCTGCTTTTGGTGGCTCATTCTACCATAGGAGGAATTTGACTAGTGACCAGCCCATGCAAAATGGTTTACAAGACCCATTCTCAGCTGGGTGCCAGTGGCTCATGCCTATAATCCTAGCTACTCAGGAGGCTGAGATCTGAGAATCGTGGTTCAAAGCCAGCCCAGGCAGGAAAGTCTGGGAGACTCTTATCTCCAATTAACCACCAGAAGAAAACAGAAGTGGTGCTGTGGCTCAAGTGGTAAAGCACTCGTGTTGAGCTGAAGAGCTCAGGGACAGTGTCCAGGCCCAGAGTTTAAGCCCCACAGACAACAAAAACAAACAAACAAAAATAAAAGACCCATTCTCAACAACTAGATGGCTGCTTTGGCATACATCTGTCATCTAGCTATGATAGGAGATGAAAAATAGGAGGATCATGGTCCAAACGTGTGGCTAGGCAGGAATAAGAATTTATATAAAAAATAACCACTGGGAACAAAGGGGCTGGAGGCATGGTTCAGCAGTAGAGTCCCTGCCTAGGCCCTACCATACAATGTCATTTAAAACATTGCTTAGGCAGGCAGGAGGGCAAAAATGAATTACACTTCATTCCTGTTAGAGGGTTGAAAGTTTAAACAAGTAAGAATACAGAGGGTAAATGTTACACACAGTTAGTGGAGAGTAACATTTAAATCTATTTTTTGAAAAGCAATGGAAAAAATCCATTAGCATGGGAAAGAAATATATCATTAGGCCTAGGAACCTACCCCATTGAAGCAAAAGCATTATGACAGGAGAATGTGTGTAGACGGCTGCTTATGGAAACTTTGCTCGTGGTACCAGAAATGTTGGGATTGTTACAAAGAACAATTTAGAATTAGAATAGTTACCCTAGAAATGAGTTCATGAAGCATTTTTGAATGAGAAAATAGGTAAGTAAGTAATATAACAAATAGAATCCTGTTTTTCTGAAAGCAAACAATGTAAAAAAATAATCTAATTGTGTATGCTTTCTATGCTATATAAGCAGAGAAAAACATGTTAACAATAGTTAGATTGGAGGCGGGTGGTGTTGGGACAGCAATTCTCAAGAAAAACAAAAAACAGTTTCAATAAGAAACTTCAAAATATTTATGAAATGATCCTGTTTTATACCATTATATATGTATGTATGTATGCATAAAATAATGAGAAAGGGACAGCATCATTTATTATATGTTTTTTAAAGGCCTAAGAGTTTATGTAAGCTGACAGCAGTAGCTCACCTCAGTAATGCCAGCCACATGGAAGGCAGAGATGGAAAGATCAAAGTTCAAGGCCAGCTCAGTCAAAAGTTAGTGAGGGAGCTGGGAATGTGGCTTAGTGGTAGATCATGCACACATGCATGAAGCCCTGGGTTTGATTCCTCAATACCTAATAAGCAGAAAAAGGCAGAAGTAGTGCTGTGGCTCAAGTGGTTAAATCCTAGTCTTGAGCAAAAGAAGGTCAGGGACAGTGCCCAGACCAAGCCCCAGGAGTGGCATAAATAAATAAATCAATAGTTAAATAGATAGATAGATAAAGTTAGTGAGATTCTATCTCAAAGTACAAGCTGAGTGTGGTGGTATACACCTGAAATCTCAGTTATATGATATACACAAATAGGAGGACTGAGGTCAGAGGTTGACCCTGGGCAAAAATCAAGAGATCTTAGCTAATAAATAACTAGGTGAAAAAAATGATATTGGTATGGCTTAAGTGTTAGAGCACCTGCCTAACAAGTGCAAGGCTCTGAATTTGAACCCCAGCTCTAAGAAGAAAGAGAAAGATTCCCAACACAAATAAATGGTAAATGTTTAAGAAACTGTGAATTCTAGTTGCACTGATTTGATCATTACATACTGCATACACGTATCATATTACATTCATAAATTTCTACAGTCATGACATGCCCATTGATGAGAATAAGAGTTTCTAGTGACATAAGAAAGATAGAAAGATGGAAGGAAGGGAAGGAGTTAAGGAGAGGGAAAGAAGGAAGGAAATAAAGAAGAAAAGGAGGAAGGAAGGGATGAAAGGAAGGAGGAAGGAAGAAAAGCGAGGAGTGAAGGAATGAGGAAGAAAGGGAGGAAGGAAAACAGGAAGGAAGGAGGGGAAGAAGGGAAGGAAAGAAGGAAGGAAAGAAAGTAGAAGAAAAGGAAGGAAAGAGAAAAGGAGGGAGGGAAGAAAGGAGAGAAGGAGGAAGGAAGGAGGGAGGGAGACAGGAAGGAAGGAAGGAATAGGAGGAAAGAAGGGGAGGAAGGAATCAAGGAAGGAAGAACAGAGAGGAAGGAAGAAAAGAAGGAAAGAGAGAGGAAGGAAAATGAAGGAGGAGAAGGAAGGAGGGAGAAAGGAAGGAGAGGGAGGGAGGAAAAGGAAGGAAAGAAGTGGAGGGAGAAAAGAAGGAAAAAAAGAGAGAAGAAAGAGGAGGGAGGAGGAAGGAAGAGGAGGGAGAAAGGAGAGAAGGAAGAAGGGAAGGAAGTGAAAAAGGAAGGAGGAAGAAAATACAAGGCCCTCTGCTCCCCCGCCCATGCTCCTACCTCCCTCAGCAGCACGCTGTCTTTGGTGGTGTGAAAGCTGTGGCTGAGTCCATCCACTTCCTTTTCGAAGAGTACGCGTACTTCACTGAACCCGGAGCTCACTGGCCCCATGAGCTCCTCCAGAATGGATGCCAGGAAAGGCTGCACGCTCTCCCCACAGCTCTTCTCCGCTGGCTGGGCCACCATTGCTGAGGTGCCAAAGAGACAGAAAGCCATGACTCAGGACTGAGTGGCACTGGAGCCCAGGCCAGGGCTGGATGATACCCCTGAAGCCATTTACCAGCCAAGGCAAGATCAAATGGACAAGGCAGCCCAACAACATGGGTGGTGGGCCAGCACTGAACCCATGCAAATGCACAGGATGGCCTGAGAATTGGAGGGAGCAGAATCTCCCTCCAGAAGCTTCCTTCTGCGCTGGGAAGACTGCATTTCTCTGCTTGGCTGCTAGGAACACACACACACCTCAGACAAAGAAGGAAATGCTGGTGACTCACCTATAGACCCTTCGCCATCATTAAATATGCAAGTCTATCTTCAGAATGCATACTCTATTATATCCTAATTCATTTCCCCAACAGCAACTACATTAATATTACTATTCCATCCTTTCCACTCTACCAAGAAACTTGAAAATAATCAAGTACAATTTCTCCCCCTCAGGACCTTGAGCTTTGTTGCACTTGTCCTACAATTCTACCACTTGAGTCATGCCTAGGTCAAATGTCACCCACTTGGGATAGCTTAATGCCCTGGACCCATGACCCAGCTTCCTGAATTGTGACCTGCAGGTGTTTCCTCATGGGCTCCATCCATTTCCTAGTCTCTAGAGGTGTACGTTCTGTCGCCTTTTGAAAGCAGTCTGCAGACTGACGAAGACAGAGAGACTGCAGTGGAGGACTGGGCTCTGAGCCTGATGGCCACAGGCTAGCAATTTCCTTCATCTCAGTCCCCATTTCCTACTTCATAGAATAGAGATCATAAGAGTAATTACTTCTTAGGGCTATGGAAGAAGTAGAGTTTACTATTTTCAAGATGCTGACAATGGCTGTGTACTGAGGAAGAGCTCATAACTATTGGTATTTATTTATCTATGGGTATTTATTGATTTGTCTAGCACTAAAACAATCTCCCCAGCAGGGGGCAGCCCACATTGAAGTTGACATGAGACCTCTACCCTTTTTGATCTGGTCTCTCAGGGCATTCATTGTGCTTTGTCTTCTGTCTGGTACCCATGACAGGTTTCATATCTTTTTCTGCCTGTAAGAGCAGACTGTCTCCTCTGAATCCTCACAGCCCTTACACTCAGCAGAATCAAAATAATGCTTACTGAATAAATAACTAATGGTGGAACAGAGCGAAAGATCAATCGATGGCTCTATGGAGAGATCACTACTTACCACTCCATAAGTGTTTTTCCAAATCCAAAAGACCTTTACCATGCAGCCTACAGGCCCCCTCCTTGTTTAAAAAGATTTGATCACTACCATCTTTCAGGATTTATTTTAGTAAACTACTATGAGTTGAGGGCAGAGTCATTTTCTATCATACAAGTACACATGGGACCTTCAGACAGGCAAGAGAGAATGATTTCATGCCAGCTGGGAAAAGGGCAATAATAAGACCCCTGAGCCTGACAATGTTGGTGGTGTTGGTGGGTTTAGGTTGTACATGTTTTTCAACATGTAGTTAGCTTTAGATGAATTGTGCTTACAAAGACATGAGCCCTAGATAACACCAAACAGAGAGCACTGGGAAGTTAAATTTCCACTTGGCTTTGGAAGGCACTATATGAACAAGTAAGCCCAGGCAAATAGACACCACGGCTCACATCAATTAAACCTTCTCTAATCTCTCAGTAGATCCATGGTAGGAGCCCTGAAGTGAGCTGAACTTCCATTCAAAGAGTGCCCATGTCACAGAGGATGATCTACCACACATTGTAGATTCACCATCCCCTGCAGGATATGAGCCCCAGGAGCACAGGACCCTGTGGGCGAACAGGAATAGGTGGTCCTAGTGCATTGTGGTTCCACCACTTGCCTCAGAAAACAATCAGTAACCACTTTATGATGAGTGAGGATCTGAGTACAGGCTATCTAAAATGACTTCTGATGAGCCCCCATGCTCTTCTGTGAACTGGCAATGGGTGTGCTGTTTATGGAGAGGCTGGATGGAATGGAGTTCCATCTTGGGTTCTATCTTGGCCTTGGGTTCTCTCCCAAGGCCATCTAAGTAAGGCCTATTGTCTGGAGCTAGGCAGACTTGATTTCTCTCAAGGAACACATAGAATAAATATTTGTGACTTTGTAATCCATAGGATCTCAGTTCCAGCTTCTCAATTCTGATGCTATATCCCCAAAGAAGCTAGAGATATTATGTCAGTCAACAAGCATGAATTCAGACTGGAGACCAAGGCAAATAGAACTGCCCAGGAATATATAACTGATTTCTGTTGGAGTTAGGGCTAGAAATCCAGACTTACAGACCCTAAGCCCACTGGTAGGCTTTCCTTTCAAAGAAAAATCCATTGTGCATTAATTCAACCTTTGGCTAATAGGCATTGTACTAGGTAGGCCTGAGTATACTTGAGTAAACCAGGGCGATGTGGCCCGGCTATTTGAGAGCTTGTAGCAGAGAAGAGGTGAACAGAGTCCATTACAATTTAATATTAAAAATTCTACACATGTCTATACATGGTAGTACATGAGTGTAATCTCAGCACTTAGAGTTGCAGTCTGGAGGATCACAAGTTCAAGGCCAGCCTAGACTACATAGGAAGACCGTGATGCCCTCCCTGAACTGTCCCACAGCAGGAGATACATAGATTGGATAAATATACACAGGTGTCATGAGGCCAGAAGCAAAGTTTTCTTCACCTGTGTCCGTGAATCTCCCATGGCAAGGTCTAGACTCTAACAGTACCTAGCGCATATTGTGACCTCCTCCCATTTTCCTCAGCTTATTCTTAGAAGCCATGAATCATCTGATATCCGTAGCATGGGGGTTCTAAGATCCACTTGCTCCTGCCTTCCACTCCAAATTCCAACATCCAAGGAAGCTCAAGTTCCTAGTATACAATGGGGTGGAATTCACACATGACCAATTCCAGCTGTATGCTTCATATATTTTAAAGTCATCTCTAGGTACTTATAATACTGAATACAAAGCAAATGCTGTGCAAAGAGTTTAACTGTGTGACTTGGGAAACCATGACAAAAACAGAAGCACGGACGTGTTCAGTGCAATTCTTTCAAGAAGTTCTTCACAGTGGTTAGTGGCGTGCACAGAAGTGGGGCTCCACCTATCCAAAGGGCCAACCGTAGCCAAAAGGATGTGTGAATCTCTCCACAGGTAGCTTATTTCATTAGCAGGAACGTGGAGGGAGCATGCTCACCAACCTTTGATCTTTCCAGTTAGGAAGTTCTTTGAGTTCACAATCTGATCCATGTCCGAGCGGATGGTTCCTTCCAGACCCTTGGTCAGAGCTCTGCACTCTTCCTTCAACGCACTTAGTCCTTCTGAAACTTGGTGCTGAACCAAGTTGTAGGCCTCTTCCAGGAGCTGCGACAGAGAATAGCAGGTGAATCATGGCTTGTAGTGTATAAGTGCTTGAGAGTCAGGTAGGAGTGGGAGGAGAAGAGCCATTCCAAACTCTCTGGATGTAAACAAAACTGCTCACACATTCAATTTTTTCTTTGAAAGTTCAAGTCTGTTTGGATGAGCTCTTATGTAAGTTATGATTGAGCAGTCTTTAAGAAAGCAAGTCTCCAACTAAGGAAGGGATTCTTTCAAAACAACCTAAAATGCCCTAAGAGGGAAGGGAGACGTACTTATTTGTTTGTTTTTGCTAGTAGTGGCTTTACCTCAGGGCCTAGTAATCTTATTTAGGTTTTTTGCTCAAGGCTGGAACCCTATCACTTGAGCCAAACTTCAAATTCTGGCTTTTAAAATTTTTTTTGGCTAGTGATGGGACTTGAATTCAGGGCCTTGGGTGCTGGGCTTTTTCACTCAAGGCTAGCACTCTACCATCTTAAGCCACAATGCCACTTTCAGTTTTTAGGTAATTAACTGGAGGTAAGAATCTCACAGACTTTCCTGCCTGGGCTGGCTCAGAACTGTGAGCCTTGGATCTCAGCCTCAGGGTAGCTAGGGTTACAGGTGTGAGCCATCAGTGCCCGGATGACTTCTGGCTATTTGATGGTTAATTGGAGATAAGAATCTCTTAGATTTTTCCTGCCTGGTCAGGCTTTGAACCATGATTCTCAGATCTCAGCCTCCCTGAGTATCTAGGATTATAGGCCTGAGCCACACAGAGGAAATGTTCATTTTGCCTAATGTATTTACATGACTTACCCCAAACCAGGCTCTCTTCCTGTCATTCTTCTTCCCCTTCATCTTTGGCAGCAGATCTGTCTGGAGAGTTGGCAGAAGTTCCTCCATCACCAGGTTACTTAGGACCTACACAGTAAAAGGGGTGCCCAGAATTGGTCAGCTGGCAATGGCAAACCAGACTTATGATGGCTGTTTCTACACTTAGATTTATGAACTCCATTTTGTGTGTGTGTGTGCACACACACACATGCAAGTGCATGTGCTGGTTCAAGGGATTGAACCCATAGCCTCACACATGCTAAGTAGCCTAGGTTAATCATCATCATCATCATCTTGGTTCTAAGGTCACAGAAATATCAACTAAGAAAATCTGGAGAGCAAGCATTCTTTTTGTTGTTGTTGTTGGTCATGGGGCCTGAACTCTGGGCCTGGGCACTGTCCCTCAGCTCTTCAGCTCAAGGCTACCACTCTACCACTTGAGCCACAGCACCATTTCCAGGTTTTTCTGCTTATGTGGTGCTGAGGAATCGAACCCAGGGCCTCATGCATGCAAGGCAAGCACTCTACCACTGAGCCATCTTCCCAGCCCAAGAGCAAGCATTCTTACAAGGAGCAGAAAGATCTGCTGACATTCTCCACTGCTGGGAAGAATAAATTCCTCAAAGTCAAACTTCTTATACTCAAACTAGAAGAGCCCAGTGCACTTAGGATGAGAGGGAAGATTTCAACCATTGAAAAGGACGTTCTCTGGCAACACTGAGATGGGTCAGGCTCGATCTGAGTGGCTGAGTCATAGTCTGTGCCCCCTTATCTTATCATTCTTCTTCAAGCCCCCTCAGGATCTAGGTGTTTTTATTCTCTTTGCCCCTACTGCTTGCTAAACACCATCTCCACCTTCTCATGTTTCGAAAAGAGGAGCAAGATAGAGAGAAAGAGGAGAGAAACATTCATGCTCCAACCAAAGCCCATGTTCCATTGCATCCCCTGGCTTTAAGAAGCAAAGCTGAAGGGGATGCTGGAGGGGATAAAGTAGAGGCAAAAGTTGAGCTCCAGAAGCTCTGCAACATTGCTGGCTCAATCTGCTCCTCCAAAGACTGGGCTAAGCCTGAAAAGGACCCTGCAAAGAAGGGAGGGGCAAAAGAAGAGCTGACGCTGGAAGGGATGGAGCTACTCTAGAGGAAATGGTCATTCCAAAACAGAGTAGGCACAGAAAGCTGAATGGGCTGGAGACGCCAACTGATATATGAGGAGGGAGGTGGGGCGGTTGTGGGTTTTTGTTTCATTTTGGTGCCAATACTTGGGCTTCAATTCAGGACCTCTGGCTTTTTTTTGCTCAAGGCTGGTGCTTTACCATGTGAACCACACTTCCACTTCTGGCTTTTTGGTGGTTAACTGGAGATAAGGTTCCCAGACTTTCCTGCTTGGATTGCCTTTGAATTGCAATCCAGACATCTCAGCCTCTTGAGTAGGTAGGATTAAAGAAGTGAGCCACTGACATCTAACATGTGTGCATTTGGGGTGACCACGTGTTTCCGGTGACTGTAAGCTTGTATTATTTTTTATTAAGTTTTACAAAAATGGAGACATTTTCTGGGCGCGGGAGTATATGCCTGAGACAGGGGACAACTGTGAGTTCCATCTAGACCTGTCACAAAACACACCCACACCAGACTATTGGTGTGTGTTTAAGCTATATTGTTAGCATGAGAATATTTCATTGTTGAAAGGGGAAGGAGCACATGTCACTAATAAAAGTTGCCACAGCTGGCTTGCTCTGGGGAAAACGCCTGTCTTTTGTTTGGAGGGATTTCCTCTTGGTTCCTAGGAGGAGGGATTTCCTGGCAATGACACAAAGCCACCTGGGCTCAAAGGGCTGGGGAGAGCATAAACTAAAGGTTGCTCTTACATTCTCCTCTCCCTATCTGCCTTCAGCATAGACTTAACTTTTGAAAGGAAGAGACCTAACAGGTCTTAGGGTCCACCTAAAAAAGTGGTTAGCAATGTGTCAGGTCCTCTGGATCTTCCAGTGATAACTCTAGGCTGTGTTCCTCATGAATGGAATGGTTCCTTGTCTAGCCTGCGAGTCTACAAGTGGATGATTCTGCTACTTCCCTGCCCTTTCTTCAGAGCCAAGGTTAACAGTGACGAAACAACACACTTGATTTGGAATGCCAAACTTCACTCTAAACTTAATGAAAGCACCATTAGGTTATACGGTGGCTTTCTGATTTGGATGGTCCACTGAAAGAAGGCGTGTTAAGCAGGACACAGCATAAGTGGGTCCCATCTGTAATCCTAGCTACTGAGGAGGGTAAGGAGAGTGACTCAAAGCCAGACCATGCAGGACTATTTATGTGGTGTTGAGGAATCTAAACCAGGGCTCATGTATGCCAGGCAAGCACTCTACCACTGAGCCACCTTCTCAGCCCCTGTTTCTAGATATTTCTTAAAATGTTGCTTGGATAGGTGAATGTTTCTACGCATCTGCACAGTTATCTCCACGCTCACTCATGACAACCTCCCTCACCCCTGGCTCCTTCCTTTTTATCCCTGCACCCTGACAGGGCAAGCTGTGCTGTTCAGATTCACTTTTATCATGAGTCTTTTGAAAGCTCAGGTTTAAACCACAGGTTCCAGATTAAGATGTAGTGTTGAGCATGGAAAGAAGCAGAAAAGGAACGACTCACTCGGGGCAGCTGTTCTGTAAAGTTGAAATAATATTTATCCAACATAACTGACCTCCTCCCTCTCACTTCTCACAGACATCTACATAGTCCACTTTGGGAATGAAGGAAGATTTTACTCAGAGGTCACTGGTCAGCCTCACACTGGTGGAAAACCTCATGAGATCATTAGATGGTGCCTCTCGCTAGGGTGTTACAGTAGGGTGTCGTGCTCTAGCTGAACTGAACAGGACCACGCCCAGGGAGAAAGAAGCCCAGGCAGAGGAGATAAACTGTCCAGGCCAACTGCGCCTGAGAGGAATTGCTCCCATTAGGGCAGTAAGCCAAACTTCTGTCACCTTGTAAACTTGCCTTGTGACATTGAAGATGGTAACAAGAGGATTTTTCACTGCTGGTAATTCATTAGTGGCACTGTGTTTTCCTTCCCTTCTTTCCCCTCCCCTCCCCTTCCCTTTCCCTCTTCCCTTCTTTTCTCTTCCCTTCTTTTCCCTTCCCTTCCCTTCCTTTCCTTTCCCTTTCTTTTTCTTGATTGCTCCTTTGCTAGGCAGGCATTCTACCACTTGAGTCACACTTCTAGATATTTTCCCGTTGATTACTTTTGAGCTACACCCCAAGCCCCTTTAGAAAACCTGGACTGCAATCCTCCCACTTGCATTTCCCAGTGTCACTAGTGATGAGGAGCTTGCACCATGTGCCTAGCCACTGGTTGAAATGAAGCCTGGAAACCTTTTTTGCCCCAGGTAGCCTCCAACTGAACAAGTCCTCTGATCTCTGCCTCCCAGGTAACTAAGTCACAGACTTGAGCCAGTCTCCCTGCTTTTCCACTCTCTGGGGCAGTTAAGAAATGAACATTTTCTAGGGTTTAAGAAAAATATGACATGTGCAAAGTCCTGGAAATCAGGAGGTCTTGTAGTTACAGTGAGTAGTTAGTTACTCCTCTGTGGGCCCCATCCTACTTTAGTGGGGGTAAGTTCTTGTTTGAAAGACATCTGCAGAAGAGTAGCCCTAGTGTAGCATGATGAGCAGGGAGCTAAGGGGGTGGGGAGGTGGAGACTGAAGATGGAGCTGACCATCAGTGGGAAACACTATTCTGGTTGAAAAGCATGAAGCTCAAGAATGATAAAAATTATCCTAATTTGTCCTTTTGCAGAGATTGGTTTTAATTTGAACAAGAGTGTGAACAGATCAAGTTATAGACAAAGGCCAAAGGAAAAGAATGTTCCATTTGGGTGGGCTTACAGTTTTCTTTTAGTCTTTCCCACACAATGTTCCAAGAAAGTTGGTTCTGTGTTAGATGTAGGGAACTGCAAAGGGATCATGCCGGGAGGGAGTGGGAGAGGGGAGAGAGAGCAGAGATCAGAAGCGGGTGGGCTGTTGCAAAGCTGGTGAACTTGGTGGGGATTAGGGATAGCCCTGGAGCTGGCAAAGCTAAAACCCACCATTTTCCTTTCCTCTCCTCCCTTCTCCTATGTGCGGCCCATTCTGGGATTTCTTATCCTGGCCAGCTCTGCATAGCAAGGTCCTAACCCCTTGGGCTTTTCTAGAGAAAAAAGGCTAATGAAATAACAAATCATAATAATGAGGAGTTCTCTAACCACCTCCTCATAAAACAGGATTCACTGAGTTTTACCATAAGAGACTTAAAAATGCAATCTTGTTGTTTAAAAAGATAGAGGCTGGGCACTGGTGACTCATGTCTATGATCCTAGCTAGCCAAGAGGCTTAGATCTGAAGATCGAAGTCTGAAGCTAGCCCAGGCAGAAGAGTCTAGGAGCCTTTTTATTTCCAATGAACCAGCATAAAGCAGTAGGAGAGGTGTAGCTCAAGTGGTAGGTAGCACTTGAGTGAAAAAGCCAAGGGAGAGCCTAGGCTGTGAGTTCAAGCCCCGGCCTCCCAATTTAAAAACTATAAAGGAAAATGGAATATATTGGGCAAACGTAGCAGCTGGCATGTGAAAATGTTCAAATTTCATTCAGCTACAAAGAACCAAACTAGAGCCCTATCACACTTCCTTGCAGACCTGGAGCTGAAGGTGGGGCCCAGGGAAGCTGCCTGTTTGGTAAGGCAGCTCCCATGTTATATCCTTGTGGTATTGATGGGCTGTGGGTAGAGCAATCTATTTGCAGAGGGCCACACTAGAACTCCTTGCCAGAAGACAATTCTAGAATGTATGGACAAGACTCAGACATGTGGGAATTTTTCTTTTTCTTATCTTGAACCACTCAGCTCTGTGGGAATTATGAGCTGTTCTCTTGCCCATCTGGCTAATTTAAAGGCAGATAATAAATACACCAAATAACTGCAGAGACTTTACATTTTTGCAGATTGCTTTCTCTCATGATCTCATTTCTATTGACAAGGAGAAAATATGTTGATGTTTTTACTGGTGTACAAATATTTCCACCTTAACAGTCTGCCAGGCAGGCTATTCTGACATACTGCTTTGTTTGGATCCTTGCTTAAAATAAGTATGGGGCTTGCCACCATCAGTGTCTAAGTCACTGCTGTGCAAAGAAGAATGTAACAAGGATGAGAATCTACTGAGTTCAGGCTCCTGCTGTTCCCAATTCGACTCCTTTTATAAGTGGTAGAGTGAACTTTCATCTTCACTAGGCCCTGTACAGGAAAGTTCCAGAAGCCATTTATTTCTACCAGCTTCGCCAAGTTGGTTCAAAATGCATTTCTGTTATAGACTGGACTCTCTGCATATTCTTTCTCTTATCTAGGGGGAAAATAACCCTGAAACTTCCTTTTAGAGTCTCCACTTTAGGAGTCTATGATTCCACCAAAGATATCCAACTTCTGGGGTCATTTGATAACCATAGCTTTAACTGATCTCAGTTTGGCTTCCTGCATCCCTCCCCTCCCCCCATCCCGCCTCATCTAGAATCTTTTCACATAGAAAATTAGCTCTGCACTCTGATTGCTCTGCACCAGTGCCTGGCATATCCATAGATGTATACACCCATATATGTACATACTCTCCTCCTTGCACACTGGCTACTATCTCTGCATATCTGACCTGAGTGCAGTGGCAAGGAAGAGGTGAGTCACGTCGCACTCATGAGCTTCGAAGCACTGAATGCCTATCGGCCCCAAAGGGAAAAACAGAAAGAAAAGAAAACACTCACAAATAAAACTCAACACTCTCCACCTCCCACCCCAAAAGGATTTATGTGACTATTTTCAATAGCATTGAAAAACAGAATGTGAATTTACATAAGAATTCTAGTTTTTAAAAAAATCAAGCAAGTGGTACAGCTGAACTATAGGAGATAAATAAATGTGAAACGTCACCCATCCCCATGATTGGTGATCTGTACGTGTGTGTGCACACACATAATCACCAGTATGCATGCTGGTACTAGGGCTTAAACTCGGGGCCTGGGTGCCATCCCTTAGCTTTTATTCTTCTTCTTCCCCCCACCCCCAAGACTCTACACTCCATCCATCTACAGCTCCACTTCTGTTTTTTTTTTGTTGTTGTTGGCGGTAGGGGGAGGAAAGAGGGGGCGCGAGGTGGGGAGTTAATTGGAGATTAGTTTCATAGACTTTCTTGCCCAAGATGGCTTCAGATCTCAGCTTCCTGAGCAGCTAGGATTACAGGCATGAGCCATTTGTACCTGGCTCTCTATTGGTGATGATTTTTCCCTGCATCAGGAGGCAGAAGACACCATCTCCTTGGTCATTTGGCCAGTAAACAAGTAGTGCAGAAACCATCACAGGAGAGGTACCCTCCTGTCTCAGCCTTGCCCATTTCTGCATCACTGGCACCTAGCACAGTGCTGGGTATGTGATGCATGCTCCTTACTGAATGAATAATGCCAGAAGTCACTCAGCTAAAATGGAAATCATAGTAACTGTCTTCTACAACCCAATAAAACTGTTAAGACAAATGTAAATAGGATCAAACAATTTGAAGTATCACAATAAAGCAATTTAAAGCTGATTTTTTAAAGAACAGTTTAATATTAAATATATTGCTAGTTAATATGCCTGTCAGCATCAAATCTCTTTCTATGTCATGGTTTTTCTTTTGTGTGTAAGTACTGTAAGCTTTTAGTGCTCTCAAATTTAATCGGAGGTAAGAGTCGACAGATTTTTCCACTGGGCTGGCTTTGAACAATGATCTTTAGATCTCAGCCTCCCGAGTAGCTAGGATTACAGGCACGAGTTACAGGCACCCAGCAGTACTTTCATAGGGTTTGAACTCTGGGCCTGAGTGCTGTCTCTCAGCTCTTCAGCTCAAGGCTAGCACTCTACCAGTTGAGCCACAGTAACACTTCCGGTTTTCTGGTGGTTAATTGTAGATAAGAGTCTCCCAGACTTTCCTGCCCAGGATGGCTTTGAACCTCAATCCTCATATCTCAGCCTCCTGAATATCTATGATTACAGGCGTGAGCCACTGGTGCCCAGCTTAGCACTACTCTTAAATTTATAAATAGATGTACTTCTCTAATGTATCAGAAATAAAGAATTAGCTAGAGTTCTGAAATAAGTTTCAGTTTGGAAAATAAGTGGGTTTAGAATCCAGAGAGAGGTGGAGAAGAGGAGGGAGAGGAAGAGAGAAGATGGAAACTCTGGTTCATATGGCAAAGTAATAAAGATCTACTCCATCCTCATGAGAAAAGTTTTAGCTCTTTATGCTTAATGAACTTTCAGAAGCCAAAGCACCATCTGGCATCTTCCAAATATTTCCTCAACAAATTTCAGCAGCCCCTCCCCCAACAGGCATTCTGGAAATTATGTCCAGAAAAATAAAAAAAAGAATAGCATTCCTGGACTTGATGTTTCGAACAGGAGGAAGCTTGCACTATTTGGAGCAGCCACTTGGTTGGTGACAACATGGAGATAGGGTCACAGCACGAAACAGCAGAGATTCGTGACACCACCCTGAGCCAAAGTCCACTGAGGTTTAGGCCATGACTGGCAGTACACCAGGGAAAATACAATGGATCTCAATGGATAGAAGAAGAAAAGTGAAACAAAAAATAGAGAAGCTTGGCCAGTGCCTTCTGTATGTTTCCATCCATCCCTTCTTTTATTTATCACTTCAGAAGAACAGATGCAGCAGGGTGGCAGTCGCTCATACTGATCATCCTAGCTACTCAGGAGGCTGAGATTTAAGGATCATAGTTCACAGCCAGCCTGAACAGACAAATACTTGAAACAACCAGTCAAAAGACTGTGAATGGAAGTCTAGTTCAAGAGATAGAGCGCCAGCTTTGATCGAAAAAGCTCCTCAATATGGTACCTGACAAATAATTCTCCAGCATCTCACTCAATTCTCATGACCTTGCAATGTAAATATTTTTATTTCTGTTTTTTTTTCTAGAGGAGTAATCTAAGACTAAAAGAGATTAAGAACTTCTTTCAAGACATAAATGTAAGTGTGATCGCCTTGAGGTCCCACCTCATAACCCTGCATATCCCAACTTGCTCTAGTTCTAATGGTCATTTGAAAGAATATGTCTTTATAGAAGACACAGGATAGTTCTGCTCACTAACATTGCAGTGTTTCAATCTGGTGATTTTATTGGGTGGGAGTGGGTGGGCAGATGGTATTGATGTTTGAGCTCAGGGCCTTCTGATTACAGGTAGTACTCTATCACTTGAGGCATACCTCCAGATTTTTGCTAGTTAATTGGAGATAAGTTGCCCAGACTGGCTTTGAACCATGATCTTGTGAGTAGTTAGGAGTATGGGTGTGAACCACCGTTGTTTGGTCAGTCTAGTGGTCTTTGTGATAGATAATAGCTCATGAAATGCTTCTACACAATTAGAGCAATCTTTGTAGAACCACGTCTTTCATTCTTGCAACTTGGGCTTGATCATTCACTGAAGTGATGCTGACCTTCCACACAGAGGATCTGAATTCTGAGTCCCCAACTTACCTGGATCTCACCCCCTGTGATCAAATCCCATGAGCCATAGTGCCCCTTCTCCTGCCGGAAGAATTGCACTGCTTCTAAAAATGCTTGGGCTTCAAATGTCATCTGCTTCATGTAATCTAAAGGAAAGAGGAAGCAGCTGTTAGAAAAGTTAAGTACACTGTTTCTTGGTTTTCTATGTTCTTCAAATATGGTAGGTCTTCTGTTGCAAAGAATAGAATTAAGAGAACCAGAAGAAGGTACTCAATTAAAGCTTATTTGCAGACAAGCAGCACTTCACTCCATTACCATCTGAGCTGACTGATACTATCAGATCCTGAGCATAGCAGTTTTAGTATCCTGTGAATGTCTTATAAATGCTTCCCATCTTCCTCCAGGCACACAGTGACTTTGTACCACCCACCCTAACACATCACCCATCCCAGTCATCCATAAACCCTCAGGAATAGAGAAAATATAACTCAAGGCATAGCATTTACAAGTGCTGAAACAGAATCCTTCTCAATGAGGCTACTAAGAAACCCAGAAGCTACATCTTCAAAACTGCAGAAGAGGAATTGACATTTCTTTTAGCCTGTACTGGGGCTTGAAGTCAGGGCCTTGGGCTCTCACCCAGATTGTTTTCATAGGGCTGGTGCTCTACTACCTGAGCCATGTCCCCAGTCCAGCATTTTGAAGATTAGAGAGAGACAGACTTTTCCTCCTGGGCTGGCTTTGAGCTGTGATCCTCCAGATCTCAGCTTTCTGAGTAGCTAGGATTACAGGCATGAGCCACCCGTACTCTACGGGAATGGACATTTCCAATATCAACATAGAGATGTGGTTAAAATAAAAAAGTCAGAAAAGGGACATGTCCCAGGAATTGTGATTTCAAACTGAAGTATTTTCTTCCTTGGGCTGGCAATTGATTTAGTGTTTAACTTGGAGGTTTGGAAACACCAAATGAAGGTCTTGCCACAGTAACACTGTCAGTAGTGCTCTTCCCATGAGGGACTGTGATGTGAGACTCAGTACACTAGGGACTCTGCCAGATGAGATGGAAACCGTAATGACTACACTGAGATTCAAGACTGACTTATGCGCACTCATTTCTAACAGCTGTTTTCATTTTCATTCCCACCTCAAGGAAACAAAGAGATGGAAAGGAAATGTAGCACTGTCTTTGGATGGAGTACATATGGCCAGACTCTCCAGCCAAGGAATGAAGTTTCAAATTCTTCATGTCTTTACAAGAAGCATAACTTCCCTTATTTCTTCCCCGGCTGGTTTTAGTAACAGGAGAAGATATTTTTAGTTCTATCCATTACCTTCTATATCTATATCAAACAACACGAGAACAACTCAAACAAATGGTGGCAGTGCCAAAGGCCTTGGGAAAAATAACTGATAGCAAATGTGAGGCCCTGAATTCAAACCCCAATACCCTAAAAAAAAAGAACAGGAAAAGAGATCAGATTTGGAGACAATGATGTGAGTGTCAGAGAGAAGACCATGAAGGAAGAGAATAAGGGCTAGAATAGTGATAGAGTAAAGCAGCTTATCAGAAGCAAATAAAAATATTAGGAATGGATCGAATGGATCACAAAAGAAACTGTAGTCATTGAATACTGGGTGTAATGGTTCATGCCTATAACCTCAGCTATGCAGAAGGAAGAATTATGGTCCTAAGCCAACCTGGGGGAAAAAAAGAGTGAGACCTATATGAAAAATAACCTAAAGCAAAAAGGGCTGGAGGTGTGGCTCAAGTGGCAGGATATCTGCCTAGCAAGCATAAGAAACTGAATTCAAACCCCAGTACTGCCAAAAACAAAATAAAAACCAAGAAATTATAGTAATTGAGCAACAGAATTTAAAATGAGAACTATCACTCACAGAAGGTCAATTTGAACTACTCCCTTTGTAGAGTGGAAGAAAAATCTAATTTACAGATTCACCATTAGATTTTCAGCTTATGAACTGCTTAAATAAAATGACTTACACAAAACATTGATAATGAGTCTGCCATGGAGTAAGTTGCCTTATGAATATTTGTTCTCATAATCATAAACAAAGCTCACTGGCAATTGCCACTTCATTCAGCAAATAAAGAACAAAGTTTGCCCTCTAAAAGACAAACTTACATGGCCACGGTAATCTGATCTTCATTTCTCTTAAACTGTTTGCAAAGGCTTTAGGAAACTCTCAGGATGTGCAGGTGTTTGAGAGAAACCAAATTCCCAGTGAGTTGATCAACTTCCTGCTATAGATCTCAAGAGAACAAATCTCAGGTTCATAACTGCCCTTTCTCCTGCCAAAAAGCAAATTGAGAGTTATGTTCAAAGGCTCCCAGAATCAGCCAAGGTTTCTAGTCTTTAGGTCCTGCTGTTGCTGACAGGACTGGGAAATGACAAATATCAGCAACAATTCTCCTTTTCCAACTATATATATATATATAGTTACTTGCTTAGCTGACGGTCACCCAGCTGGTGAGTGTCAGAGCCAAGAGTTGAAAACGTGGCTCTGGCATGCCACACACCACCTTGGCATTCATGCTTCCTAAAATCATCCATCCACTAAGAGAGTTGGAAGTGATCATAAAGGTCACCAGCTCCAAGATCTCCTTCTACCCTGGTATCCTTCAGACTCTCAGACAAACACTTGCTTGGCCTTGCTTAAATATTTGTAGGACAGAGAGCTCACAATTTAATGAAGTAATTCTTTCCGTCACTGACCTACTCTAATTACTTGAATTTTTTCCCCTCTATTGAGCCAAAATCTGTTCCTATAAACTCTCTCATTAATCTCATTTCTCCCTTTCAGAGCAAAATAGACTAAGTTTACTTCTTTTCCCTATGGTAATTCTATAAAACAGGCATCAGCTGAATATAAAGTATATACTTGCTTCCCTTCAACCATACTTTAAAAACCTCTTTCAGATCTCTTAAATTCGGCCTTCACTTTTCCTTCCGTCCCCAGAGACCCATTCTTATTTATCAACACCTTTCTTGAACTTGGCCCATAGGACTGGGTATTGTCTCACTAGCACAAATTATGTAAAATAGAATGGTTCTTTCCCTCTGATTTTTTTTTGGGGGGTCCGGTCGTGGGGCCTGAACTCTGGGCCTGGGCACTGTCCCTCAGCTCTTCAGCTCAAGGCTAGTGCTCTACCACTTGAGCCACAGCACCACTTCTGGCTTTTTTTCTTTTTGCTTACGTGGTGCTGAGGAATCAAGCCCAGGGCCTCATGCATGCAAGGCAAGCGCTCTACCACTGAGCCACCTTCCCAGTCCACCTTCCCTCTGATTTTAACCTCTCCTTAAAGAATATAGCCACATCATCCTGCTGACTCCTATCTTTGAGTCCAATAAAATCCCTAAACCTTTTTCATGTCAAACTCTTGCCAGTGGAAGCCTCTTTAACTTGTACTTTTTTCTTTTGACTTTGAAGGACAGATTTAACACTATCCCTATTAAATTACAACTTAACAGTGGTCAGTCAGCTCAGTCAGCCAATGCCTGCCAAACTGCTCTTTAAAACTGTGTCTCCTTTCACCTTTACTAACGTGGTAAGTTGGCTTCCTTTGTTTCTATCTGACTCACTGATAAAGAATTCACCAGAATTCACAGGCAAGGACTGAGCCCCAAGAAACTCTTAAGTGTGAGGAGACACGTGGGAGACACTGTGGCCATTCATTCAACCCTCACATCCCCAGAACAGGGAAATGTCTCGGAGTACACAGTTCTCCAGGTTTCTCGCTAGATCCTCCTCTGTACAGCTGCATGGAAAACTCACATCTGGGACAGATGATTAAGGATTCTGCAAGGGAAGGAAAGCTTCTTTGGGTCTCTTGGGGGAAGTCATTCAAGAGGCCAGCCAGAAGGCATCATTTTTTATTTTTTTCCACTTACACAAATTTATAGCTTGAGTGAGTCAACTGAACCGCCAGAGTTTGAGTGAGGCCTATGGAATCACTGTCAATTTTGACTCTGACTGCTGGGTCAAGCCTGGGTTTGGACGCTGCCTTGTTTTTTTATTTTATTGGTAAGCGGTGCCAAGCCATGATAGCTGATCTGCCTGGTGATTTGTGAGTTACATAACAGCATTACTCACTACACTGCTATGGCGGGTTCTTCCCACTGATAAATACTTCTAAACTGGCTTTAGCTTCAGTCCTCTAAGCCCTGTCTTTAGAAAGGCTTCAGTCAGGCTGACTGCCCTGGTGTTTTCTCCAGAACAAGGAGAAGATAGATGCACGTGCACAGTAAGGGTAGCAGCAGTGGCTGAGTAGGAACCCTGTCTTGTATAGTCCTAACAACCCCATGAGGTAAGAATTAACACTCCTACTTCACAAAGCATGAGGAAATAGTTTAACTAGCTGAGTTTGCACTTGGTCAAAGCAAAGGTTAACTAGCTGAGTTTGCATTTGGTCAAAGCAAAGTCTTCTCACCCTCAAATCCTATTATAACACTCTATGGTTCAGTTTCAAAGCTCTCTAATTTGAGATAATTTTAGATTCACTTGCTTTTGTAAAAAGTAACTCAGAGCCAGGCACAATGGCTCACATCCATAATCCTAGCTTCTTTGGAGCTAGAATGCCACTGCTGGAGCTAGGATTCAAGGTCAACCTCACCAAGATCTAGAGATCTCCATCTCAACTAATAGCAAGGCACAGTGGCACATGCTTGTTTTCCAGTAATGTGGGAAGCTGAAATAGGGAGGATCATGGTCCTCTCTAACTAATTAAAGTAGAAAGCACTTGGCTCCAGTGGTAGAGGCCCTGTCTAGCAAGTGCAAGATCTTTAATTCAAACCCAGTGACTAATCCCCCCAAAAGAGTAATATTGAGGGCTGGGAAGATGGCTTAGTGGTAGAGCGCTTGCCTTGCATGCCTGAGGCCCTGGGTTCGATTCTTCAGCACCACATAAGCAAAATGAAAAAAGGTGGAAGTGGCAGTGTGGCTCAAGTGGTAGAGCGCTAGCCTTGAGCTGAAGAGCTGAGAGACAGCGCCCAGGCCCAGAGTTCAGGCCCCATGACCGGAACTCCCCACCCTGAAAAAAAAAGGGTAATATTGAGATATTCAGGTGCCCTCCATCCAGTTTCCTCCCAAGAAAGCACCCTTCAACCCAATAACACAAAATCAC